TGAATGAACAATACGTACTGACATTTGTGTCTTCCACAATTCATGATAAATAAGCAAACTGGTTATTTGTAATCAGCCAAACTTGCTTCTGTGAAAAGGCTGCTACTGGACGTCGCAGAGCTCATGTTCCTTCCCAGTATCAGAAAGGAAAAAAATCAAGTTACATTTATAGCTAGTTTTAGAGTTTCAAGCTCTCATCTAGCAGTTATATCTCTTTCCAAAATGGCAAAGGCTCCTCACTTCTCAAAACTTCTAAAACAATCCTACTTTAGTTACAGTCATATTACAGTTGAGTCTGGTTGTCATCATCTATGCAGTTAAGATAAATGCCTTTCCCTCCACTAAAACTGAAGCTAGTCTATGGAAAACAGACATGAAATTATACTGATATGTATTAAGATCAAACCAGCATTTATTAAACCTATAGATAATGGTATATGGCTGGGTCTTCTCCAGATCAGATTTCTGAAGGATCTGCTCCTGCCCTTGCTGAACAAAGGACTTTTCATAAGTCTCTAAAACTAAAAAAAAAAAAACCCAGGATATAATGAGCAAGTTTGCTTATGTCTCATCTTGTATAGAGTTAGGGGCTGGAAGAGACAGATGTTTGTGGACACAAATTGAGCTGTAAGTCAATCACAAGGTTTTACCTTGGCTTTCTGGTACTTAACCCTTAGAGAACTGCATCAAAGAGCAGTCACATCACTGTCACTATGGAAATAAAGGAAATCACATATCTCACAACACCAAGAGGAAGAAATAGGAGAAAACTGAGAAGCATCTAGTTATTTTAAACCAAGTCACTTATAAATCATTACTGAAAGCTGGGGTTGTGGCTCAGTGGTAGAGCACATGTGAGGCCCTGGGTTCGATCCTCAGCACCACATATAAATAAACAAATAAAATAAAGGTATTGTGTTCATCTAAAACCATTTTAAAAATTAAAAATAAATAAATAAATCATTACTGATTAAAAAACATGAGGACTATTTCCATATACTATTTGATTCCCACAGAGGTAAAAAGTTCAAAAGTGTAAAACAAGGAAGGGGAGAGGGAAAGAAGGGACATACTAAACTAAACTAGTCTATCATATAATTAAGCAAAACAAAATATTCTGAGGAAACACACGGGCCTATCATTACGTGCAGCAGCAGTCCTTAATTAACATTCTTCAAGGAAAGGGTGAACTGGAACCCCCTTAAAGGCCCAATGGCACCGAAAGAGCTCACCAAGCAGTCACCAGTCTCTCCTCCATGGACACACACACAGACATAGGATGTGTGTGCAGTTAAAAAGAAGGAAAGCATGGGGCTGGGGCCGGGGCTCAGAGGCAAAGCGCTTGCCTAGCATTTGTGAGGTACTGGGTTCGATCCTCAGCACCCCATATAAATAAATGAAATAAAGGTCTATTGACAACTAAAAAAATATTTAAAAAAAAAAAAAAAGAAGAAGGAAAGCAGATCACCTGAATCACACCACATTTAATTCTGTTGCTACCCTGTAAGTTTATTAAAGTAATGGTATTTATTTATTTATTGGGGTTCCACATTTGCTCTGCATCTGTTAATTAAACAATTAACAATTTTCCATTAATTCTGGCGATTTTTGTTGTTGTTGCTGTTGTTGTTGTTGTGATAAGAATGAAGGCCTCAGTGAAGACCATAAATGTCTCTCTCCATGACGTACCATGTTTATTTCAAAAAGTTGAACATAAAACAGCAATTTGATTCTCCCATGTCCCAGGAGAAATAAATAAATAACAGACTTTTAGAAACTGAATTGAAAACCTTTGAAAAGGAATTTAAATTCATGGTAGAGCTCCTGGCACAGTGCTGGGGAGGCTCAACTTCTGCTGTGCCTGGTTCACTTCTTACTTCCTCCTCTCTACTGAAGTCATTTTTCAGAGTCTCTGAATGTGATTCCTCCCCTCATGTCACAGTAACCCCAATGACCAACAGTCTACAACGGCCACCAATATTTGAGGTTCTTCTTTGGCAACAAATGTTCCTCTTACACCCTGCAGAGTTTGAGAACTAAAAATATTTCAATTCAAAGTTGTAGATCTCATGGTTTTACTATGTTTAAACTTCAACCATAAGAGCATACTTGAACTAAGGTTAAGATCAGGAAGTTTTTTCCAACAAAAATGAGTTTACTGCCGGGTAAGGGGGCTCACGCCTGTAATCCCAACAGCTCAGGAGGCTGAGGCAGGAGGACCACAAGCCAGCCTCAGCAAAAGCGAGGCACTAAAGCAACTCAGTGAGATCCTGTCTCTAAATAAAATACAAAATAGGGTTGGGGATGTGGCTCATGTGGCTCAGTGCCCCTGAGTTCATTCCCGGTACCAAAACAAAAGAATTTACTATCTTAGGTCAAGCATGAGACTGTGGAAGTGTTCCTCTTCATCCACTTAGATACCACTCATTTCTACCCAGATGCTTGCAAGCATGGTCTCCACCTTCCTAAGCAGAGGCAGCTTTGGGAACGGAAACTAATATAATGTTTGCCTAATATAAAGATAACTGACTTGCTAAATACAGGAGTGTCTGCCCCTGAAACTAGAATGGTTTGTGAAACATACTCCATGCTATTAGTTTGGAAAGAGTTAATTTCGTTTTAAGCAGTTCAAATCATTCTGAGATTTATTTTCCTGAGTTACTTAATAGTCTCCCCTCACCTTAAAAATAAATAAGGAGAGTGCACATCTGTAATCCCAGTTACTCAGGAGGCTGAGGCAGGAGGACCGCAAGTTTCAGGCCAGCCTGAGCAACTTAGCAAGACCCTGTCTCAAAGATTAAAAATAAAAAAAGATGGGAATGCAGCTCAGTGGTAAAGGGCCCCTTGGTTCAAAAGAGAGGGGGAGAGGAGGGAAGGAAGAGAGAGAGAGAGGGAGGGAGGGAGGGAGGGAGGAAGGAGGAAGAGAGGGGAGAGGAGAGTGGAAGGAAGACAGACACAGAGTTCCGTTTAAATAAATTCTCATTTCCAAGCACTTCTATTTGTACTTAACTACTAAAAGATAATACTATCAGAGTGCTAAAATTCCAAAAAGGATGAAATATTAACGACTGCTAGTTAATCTTCATTAGGGGAAAGGCTAACTGCCAAGCTGCAGCTGGCTTTTACAGGGTCACTCATATAGTAGTAACCCAGCCCATTCCAGAGCTGGGTTGTCCAATATGGTAATAGTCAACCACATGTGACTATTTCAACTTAATTAAAATCAAATAAAATTTAAAATTCAGCTCACGGGCCACACTTGCCATATTTCAGTGTTTGGTAGTGACATATGGCTAGTGACAAGCACACTGGACAACACAGATACAGAACATTCCATAGCTTCCATCATTTCAGCGGTGCTCTATAACAGAGAACTTTACTCCTAGCTTATACATGGAAGAGCACACTGTGCCCATTTAAAAGGCTTTTATTTAAGATACAAATAGGAATGAAAGTCTTATCAGATTTAAACAATCTTATATCACATGCAATTTCAGCAGCTATTTATTTATTTATTTATTTATGGTACTGGGAACTGAAGCCCGGGTGCTCTATCACTGAGCTATATAACCCCAAACCTTTCTATTCTAAGACAGGCTCTCACTAAATTGCCCAGGCTGACCTTGAATTTGTAATCCTCCAAGTAGCTGAGATTACAGGCATGATCCACCAAACTGAGCTCAGCAGCTACTTTTTAAAGTATTTTAAAAGCATTGCTTAAATGCAAAATATACAGAAGAACAGAAATGGGACTTATTACAGAATGTACACAGTCCTTGAAAAATTCTAAAAAGACTGATTTCATTAGGTCTTTTAACATTAACAGAGCTAAAGGACATCAATTACTTGGAAAATGGCTCTATAATCAACTGCAATTTGATTAAATTAAAAAGCAGGCTACACAATAGACACGAGGATTTTGCTCCTTAAGATCTTCAATGGAGGGTCAGTGTTTTAAGGTGGCTCCAGCTGTGGCTCCTGCTGCATACTAGTTTCGGGACCGCAGATGTTCTGAGGTATGCATGGAGCAGCTGTGTACCTCCAAACAGGCTAACTTGTTCCTAGTACTTTTAGACATTAACCACTTTCCCAGCTGGACAGAGTCAAGGACAAAATATCCAATGAAAGGACTCATTCACATTATGACAATTTTTAACAAATTAACATCTAGATTGTCAATTTTAACTTTACTAAGTATATAATATATATAATCAAATATCACAGATAAAATCTGTTTTTTTTTTCAGGTTGAGTTGAAAAGACTGGTCTTTTAAAAATTTTAGTCAAAAAACTATTCTGTTCTGAAGATAAAAATGGATCTTTTCGAAGATCACAATGGGTATCAAAATCCTATCATAGAAATATAGCAACCTTACGTTTCTTTCCACATGTGGTTAGTGAAATAGCAAAAACAAAAAGGTCTGGGCATTTGAAATATCCTCTAACTGGATAAGACAATTCAACTTACATGAAAACTAAAGTTGACTAATATAAAAATTTAGGAAGATTATAAATTTATCATTCAAAGTTTTAAAGAAATCTCAGAGAAGTAGTTAATAAATTCAGCTTCACTGAGATCATACTTTGTTAACTGAGACTATTCTCCAAAATCTTTTAAAAAATGTTTTAATTGACATCTTAATTATACATATTTATGAGAGAAAATTTTTTTGATGTTGCTATAAAAACCATACCTTCTCCACTTAAAATTTTACAATCTAAGTCTGAGTTGAAAATTTCAGTGTAGAAAATCCAAGAAACATCAGCACTTTTTAAAGGTTTCACCAACATATATTCTCTAGATATAACACTGAGAATATCTGTTTGACTAATAAATATTAGATAAAAACAAGAATTAACTTACGATGTAAATAATGAACCAAGTCATACAGACCAACTAAAATAAAAGCAATATACTTAAATGTCTATAGTGCACCATTAACATCTCTAGAAAGAGGATTGAAGCATCCAGAGGCCCCGCCCAAGCTGCCCACACTCACCATCTGCAGAATCGCCCCATACAGCCGCAGGAGCACTTTCCGAGGCTCGTCGCCAACCGTGGCCATGGTGTCGGGTAAGGAGCACTGGAACAGCATGTTGCTGAGGCCACCTCTGTCAGAAATCAGAGGACAGTAAACATCCACACTGTGAAGGTGAGCAAAGTCACTCTTGGATGAATACAGATGAAAAGTCAGCCCACACAGGAACTGCGCTTGTGGCATCCTGCACCCTCTCAGAACACTTGGAAGGAACAGGATTAGTGAATTTATAGCTTTCATATTAAGTCCACAAGTCACACTAAAAATGGGCAAATTCCCAATCTGCTTTTCTACAGTAAACTTGTGCAGAGGTTTTTTAAAAATTGCCAGTGTGTACCTAGAGAATAAAAAGGGACAAAGAGGAACCTCCTCAGCACTAGGAATGGGGGAACATCCCAGAGGTATTCCTCTCTACAAGATCATATTCTTCTAGAATCCAAGATTTTCATTTTTATTTCCATAATCACAAAATTAAAATGCTGGGCCCTTCCTCTCTAAGGCTTGCGATTCCAGGATCCACCCTTTTTGTTCCCTCAACCAATTTTAACTAACAGCCTTGTCAAATGTCTTTGCAATGTTGGGCTGAGGATGTGGCTCAGTGCGAGAGCACTTGCCTGGTATGCATGAGGCCCTGTATTCTATCCCCAGCACTGAAAGACAGAAAAAAAAAAAAAAAAAAAAACTTGCAATACAAACTGGGGCTTTCCAAAGAAATGGGACCCCAATGCCCTATAGTCAGATTCATGTCTGACTACCAAAGTCAAAAGCAAGCTAGAGCCTTGGAGCAAATCATCTGCCTGGGTGGGAAACGATCAGCTATAGAGAAAAGTTAGTTCCTAAGATAACTATACGATTAAGAATTACTGATAAAATGCTCTTCAACTGTAGTGGACTTCATTATATCCTTTTCTTATCTAACCAATAAATCTTAGGAATACTACTTAAGCAAAGCACTATGATGGAAGCAAGAGTAACAAACTGAACATATGTGAGTCCCTGCCTTCAAGAAAGAGACAGAAACTGAACACAAATTTCTAGTTTACAATTCTAGAGTCCATAAGTCCAAAAATAGGTTTTACATGGCTAAAATCAAGGTTATGGCTAGAGGTCAAAAGACTGTATGTACATCATACCCTAGGAAACACAAGATAACTAGAAACAGATGCTGAGTTAATGGATTTAAAGAATAAGGGTGACTGGGGGAACAGGGTTAGTTAATGTTTACTGGGGACAGAATCTCAGACTGAGAGGATAAAGGGTTCTGGAGATGGATGTTGGTGGTGGTGACTGCTCAATGTGCATGTACTTAATTCCACTCAACTATACACTTAAAAATGTAGATTTTATGCTGTCTACCAAATTTGTAGTAAGAAAGAATGAAGAGCAGGGAGCACTTGTATGTGGCTACAGTCCCAACAACTTGGGAGACTGAGGCAGGAAGATAGCTTGAGGCTATGAGTTTTGAGGCCAGCCTGGGCAACACAGCAAGAGCCCCATCTCTTCAAAAAAACAAATTAAGTATTAGAACATTCTATATGAGCAACCTTAAAAACATGTCATATAATACATGCTGCATGGATGAACCTTAAAAACATTTAGAGCTTGGGGTAGAAGGCAGGGGGAAGGGGTGGGGTTTCTTTGTGATATGATGAAAATGTTCTAAAGTTCACCATGTACACAGTTGCATGGACCTGTGACTACACTAAAAACCACTTCAAATAGGTAAATTTAAATGGTACAGTACGTCAAATATGTTAACTCAATAAAGCTGTATTTTTTATTTTTTTTTTAGTTATTGATGGGCCTTTATTTTATTTATTTATATGTGTTGCTGAGGATGGAACCCAGTGCATCACACAGCTAGGCAACCTCTCTACCACTGAGCCACAATCCCAGCCCCAGTAAGCTGTTTTTAGTTCTCGGCGGACACAACATCTTTCTTTGTATGTGGTGCTGAGGATCGAACCCGGGCCGCACGCATGCCAGGCGAGCGCGCTACCGCTTGAGCCACATCCCCAGCCCAGTAAGCTGTTTTTAAAAAGAAAAAAGCAATGACCTTTTTTCCTATGATTTTTTTCTTAAGCAACTAAAAAACTTGAATATGTTTCTAGGCAATTCCCCTCAGATTTAAAAAAGCCATATTTAAGTAGTTTCCCAATGGCTTACTTAAAACAATCATTAAGTGTCTAGAAATGACTGAGTAAGGACCTATTTTCCCAGAAGACAAATTAAGTTGGTCCTTAGTTAACAAGATCAGAAAGAACAGGGAACCCAAGGTTCCTGGTTTCCAGAGCCAGCAGGAAACAGGCCCAGAGCAGCCTCACCCTTTCTGCTTACCCTCAGGCAGCACCTCCTCCACAGGGCTCATCAGAAAACACACCCAGGTCCAGCCACAGCCAACATGGGTTTCTGGCTACCAAGCAACAGGACAGGCATTACATCGGAGTTAAAAGCCCTGGTTTTTCTTCCTGTCACACACTCTTGAAAGCTCAAATAAATGCCAGAGCAAACAGATGAACTACTGTTCCAAACTGTGGACTTGATTCAAAATCTGTCCCCGTACGCCTACAGAAGGCAGTCAAGCTAGCTTGGCCAGAAACAAGCTCACAACTTGGAAATTCTTCATCTACAGTGTTACCTGCAGTCTGCTGCTCAACAGGCTTTAGTGAAAAAGCTATGGATTATTGCTCAGGGACAGTCCAAATAAATGAATCAAGGTCACTGGCACCAATGACCTCAACTACAATGAGAAACTCCTTAGAAAAAAGCCAATGATTAATGTGTCAAATAACATCACTGGGAACAAGAAGATCTGGTAAGAAGAAAGGCCAAGAAGAGACGGTAAAAATACAAGAGCCCAATTTGCTATATAATTTGTCAGAAATATCCTCCTAGGTGCTCTCAAGGATTTCAAAATTTGTGAAACCAAATTTGTTATCATACATAACAGCTTTACAATAATATAAGTCATAATTAAATAAAGGAGGCATAAGATGTTCATGCAAAATATCAAAGTGGGGCTGGGGATGTGGCTCAAGCGGTAGCGCGCTAGCCTGGCATGCGTGCGGCCCGGGTTCGATCCTCAGCACCACATACAAAGAAAGATGTGTCTGCCGAAAACTAAAAAATAAACATTAAAAAATTCTCTCTCTCTCTCCCCCTCCCTGTCCTCTCTCTTAAAAAAAAAAAAAAAAAAAAAGCCCCAAAATTTGAAAAAAAAAAAAAATATCAAAGTGAAAATGACACATTTACTTCGCATTCACACACATAAGCAATCCATGACGGTAAAAATAAAAGGACAGGAAGTGCCCACTGGTATCCCTCAAGATCACCACTTATTGTGCACACCTGAAATTCCAGCGGCTCGGGAGGCTGAAGCAAGAGGATCACAAACTCAAAGCCAGCCTCAGCAATGGCAAGGCACTAAGCAACTCAGAAAGACCGTGTCTCAAAACAAAATACAAAATAGGGCTGGGAATGTGGCTCAGTGGTTGAGTGTTCCTGAGTTCAATCCCTAGTACAAAAAAAAAAAAAAAGATACATATGCTAATCAAGAATTCACTCCCCTCCCCCCCCAAAAAAAATTCACTTCCAGTAGTTGGGATGTAGCTCAGTGATAAAGTGCTTGCCTAGCATGCAGGAGGCCCTGGATTCAATCCCCAGCACTGCAGAAATTAATGAATGATTGCAGGTAGCTCATTATGCATAGTATGTTGAATACAAATATGAAACAATCTCTAACATCTTCAGCATTCCTTGAAATGCAAAACAAAAAAATAATCTATTGAAAGTACTAAGAAGATGGGGGGGGGGGGGCTACATATTCTTACCTCCTGTACAGTGCCCAACACATGGCAGGCTCCCAATTATTTGTGAAAGAATGAACGTACTCACACACGAATGCATGCCCAAGATCTCCCTGGAAGAACACTTAATACTAACAATGCCTGCCTCTAGAGATGCTGAAGGTCAAGTGGGAGAAAGGCTTATTTTCTAGGATACCCTTCTGTAAAAGTAACTCATTATCTTTTAAGAAGTTTTCAAAACAAAATAAATGTTTGTGGCTCAGTGGCAGAGCACTTGTCTAGCATGTGTGAGGCACTGGGTTCGATCCTCAGCACCACATAAAAATAAATAAATTAAAAGTATTGTGTCCATATACAACTAAAATAAATAAATAAACACCAAACAAATAAAAATAGACCTTGTTTTTCCAACTGTCCTTTGTCATCACTTCATAAATAAAATGTACACAGGGAATAAGCTCTCCTACTTGCTAATTTGGTGAATATCCTCCAAAGATCCATGTTAAAGACTTGGTCCCCAGGGTAGTGCTACCAGGAGGAGCTGAGGACCTTTAGAAAGTGGGATCTTACAGGAGGTCCTTGGTCATTGGGGGTATGCCCCTAAAGGGGACTTGGGACACTGGTCTCTTCCTCTCTTTTGCTTCCTGGCCACAGGTGAGCAGTCCACTTTGCCACAGCTCCCCACCCTGTCATCCAGCCCCTCATCACAGGCCCAAAGTGATGAATCTGTTGATCTTGAAATGAAACTTCTAAAACTGTGAGCCAAAATAAATCTTTTCTCCTTATAAGTTAGCTGTCTCGGGTATTCTGTTGCAGTAATAGGAAGCTGTCTAACTAGCACTTGGCTGAATTTCCTTAATTATCAAGAAGGTTTATAGTAAGCACCATTCTACTCTACAACAACTGGAGGCCAATAAATAAATATATTTAGGAGCAGCTCAGTGGCAGAGCATTTGCCTAGCATATGTGAGATCTTGGATTTGATTCCCCAATGCCACAAAAAAAGCAAAAAAGAAATGTATCCTTGAAAATCTAAAATCTCTTCATACGTCTTCCCCCCCGCTTCCTGCCTTGCATACAACCTGGCAAGCATGACAGGTATTAATGATTCAAGGTCTTTACGGGTCTTGAACATGAAATATTGTTGTACGGTATTGGAGAGAAGAGATACAGAAGAACTCAGAATTGAACTGATTCCAAAGCATAACAGAAAATTTTTTTAACTTTTATAATAATCTTGATTTTTCTTATTTTACACTTTTCCTTA